CATGTTGGACGCCGAAATCCTCCCAGCGCTGGGGGGAGACAGATCCTGGAACACGCTGCAGTGCTGGAGCGAACTCCAGGAGGCTATCCTACCAGCCACCGCGCTTGGGGAACAGCGCCAGCACGCCTACATGGCTGAAGCTACGCCGGCTCAGCGGGGCCCGCCGCTGCCCACCCGGCAGACGTTCTGGCACTTGCTGAACCAGGAACAAAGGAGTGGAACTCCACCGCCAGGCGCCTGATGGAAGCCGCTATAAAGTGCTGCGACACAAGGTGCCCTTGATCGGGGGAGAGACGATCGGCCCAGCTATCCAGACCCTGGCAGCTCTGGATGCAGCAAGCCTATTTCGGGGGCCTGCATGCGATCAACGATGGCACGCAAACCGATGACGGCGACGACAAGGCCGGTACAGCAAGTGGGGGAGCGCCTGCAGCAACGGAGGAGCGCAGACCGGGGGAAGAAGCGCCGTTGGATCGGGCTCCATGGCATAACCGAAGAGGAGGCCGTCGCCCTGGAAACGACAGCTTCCTTGCGGACCTGGGGGGGCTTGATGCTTGCCGACGGCACCTGGCAGAAGCCGAAACTGTGCCGTGGCCGTGCGGGGGAGCCATCCAGAACGAGCCCTACTACCCGATCCGGACCTGAGGAATCGGGGGAATTACAGCCCAGCGTCACACCGCCGCCGAAGACTCCACAGTGTCTTCTTTAACCGCCACGGACCCATCTAGAATGGGGGATGCTGAGCAAGTACAGAGACCTGCAGATGATGTTCCACATGAGCTAAACTACTGCCATCTTCCGATAAATTTGTGTTGCCTTTGCGAGGGAAGCTCAGCCACCATGTAGACGAACTAGTGGGAACTCCTGCCCGCAGTCGTTACTGCACCAATTTCCTGTTGCTGTGTCTGTTTTGCTTCAAGCAAGGGGGGATCCCAAGGCAGTCCTCAAAACAAGTACGTAAAAGTCATGGCACTATGTTTCTGCATTGCATGGTCCTCAGTGAGTGTTGCTTGTCTTACTGGTTACCGAAGGGGGACTTCCTCAGCAGAGCGAATACACCTGGGGGAAAACGTCCGGTGAGAGACTAAGGACTTAGCCTAAGTGGGCGCGGTGATGAGGCCGGGATGCGGTCTAAACTTCAGGGTTGTGGGGGTACACACCGGACGTTCTCCACATGTTGCAAATTCCACGGGGAAAACCCTCCCACCACAGACCCCAATGCCCTTCTTCCACCAACAAGGCAGGAAAGGGGGGCCTAGGCCCGGGTCTGCTCGCAGACCTGATCCTAGCAGCGAGCGACCGAGCGAGAGAGAGAGAGACTTGTTCTGTACAGCGGGCAGCCCCTGGGTGGGGGGCTCGCCCCCTCAAGCCTGGTGAAAGAAAGACTTGTTCTGTTGCCTGCGTTGTTCTTCGAGATTGTTGTGAGCTATGGCTTCATGTAGTTTGCCTTGTATGCCTTTCTCACCATGCTTCCCATACATGTGCAGCGCGTAACGCGCGGGGGTAATGAGGAGCGTGGGGATAGGTTAAAGTAAAGGGTCACGGAGGTTTTGCCGGAACAATACGTGCCTCATCGAGTCGTGAGCCGACGAAGACAGAGACTTCGGTGCGCGCTCGCGCGTCGGGGGGTTGCAGTTACAGCTTCTCTCTCCCTGTCCGCATGCAAAAAACGAAAGCAAAGCAAAGACAGAGAGAGAGAGAGAGAGACCCAACTTGGCCGAGCACCACACACGTCTCACACTAGACTCGGACACAGGCGTAGCGCTCGCACGCAGGGGGGCAGGGTCCCGTGCTCTGCTTCCCACACGCCCTGCAAGCAAGCAAGCAAGAGTGCGTAGCGCCCGGGGGGCTTGACTCGCCCCTTAAGCCTGGGAGAAGCAAGAGATTGTGTGTGTGTGTGTGCAATCCATTCGGCCACAGCGCAGGGCAACTTTTGCATTAGTTTTTAGTTGCGTGATCAAACTATGGGCACAAACTGAAATGCTGCCTCGAGAGCTACAGTAACAGAACTCTTGCTGACTTTGGGTCGAAACGTAAACCAGCAACCGATCAGTTATGACCATATCCTTACGGCGGTAGCGGCTGGGTTTGAGTCTCGCGGTCAGGCCAGATGTAATCGAGAAGTCGTTGATGGGATATGATTGGTCTGCCGACTTTTTGGCATGCTCGTCACTGCTGCTCTGCATAAAAGCGCATCGGTCGCAAGCATTCGCAAGCCATTGGACATGGTGATGCAGACTGGGACGCCATGCCTTGTACCAACTAAGATGTGTATGCTGCTGTATGCTGTGCTGCAGCTGGTGGAACAGTGGTTCCTTCCCCGTTTGCCGATTGCCATCAATAATGCAGCGTCTCAGAGCAGACAGGAGGCTTCAGGGCAAAGATTGTTACTTTACCGGGTCGTACCACAAGCCTTTTTGGTTTGCTGCACTGCCGGAAACCTGTCTGAAATGCTGTTGCAACAAACCCCGAGCTTCCCGCGAACAGGCAGGCGTGCCCAACGAGGGCGCGCCCTCATGCCTGGTGAAGGAGTGAGAGAAGGACAGAGGGAGAGAGGGTTCCTCTCTCCAATACACTTTCTTGCAACCTAGGGGACCCCATGCCTTTTCACGCCCTGCCGAAAGCCCCGTAACAAACGGGGGGCCCACGAGGCCGGGGGGCCTAACACGCTCCTCAAGCCCTGTCGAAGAAGGGAGAGGAACAGGGAGAGAGAGACAGAGAGAGCAAAGAACAGGAGTTTCGTGTTGACTTGCCATGTTCGTGCGTGGACCGTGTGTGGGCATGACCAATTTGATCCTGTATGCAGAGCAAGAGATGGTTGGATTGACGTATCGAGAACATACGGGGTCCAATCGACCCGAGCAGAAGCAAACTCGCGATAACCCCTCCTGTCCACCATGCATTAGGTGCATCACGGGTCTCCACGATTGCGTGGCCGGGCCGTGGAAGAAAAGGACAGGCGAGACAACATGGTCGTGAGGATAAGCAATTTTGAATCCAATGGTGCCACTCCCTGTGCTTATCATGAAGTCTGAATGTGGCGTAATGCTGTTGAGGATATCAACAGCAAGGAGTCTAGCGGCCTGGTGGACGCACGCAATATTGCCACTGCAAGTTGCAGCTTCCGATTCATGAGGTTCAAGCGTCGCAGAAGAAAACCATGGCAGCAAACACACAGCTTCCATGAGGCCGTACCCGGCCAGATACCTTCTGCCCTGATATCTCCAACTCCAACACGATTGAAGCCAGCGAAACACCGAGACAAGTGTCCTAACTTTGCGGGTCCTTACGGCCTTGTGGCCTCGCCCAAAGCGAAGGCGGGAAGATCAGAGCACACATGCAGAGGTCGCATGCGACTGCTGAGCCTTGCAACATGACTAACACACTTGTGGTTGCGATAGGTTTCTGATCCCATGCTTATTTAATTCATCAAGCACATAGCACACTAGCAGACTCTCGCAGCCCTGCAGCTTGTCGACAGTTGTAGTCAGTAATGGAGTGGTTGGTGTCAGTGCTAGCAGATGCCGCAGCTGGCAGAAGCACTCTGGATTTTTTTGTTGTCTGGGTCGAGTGTGACCTCACCTGTCTGTTCCCAGTTGTGAGTCCGCTACCAGATGCCAACATTTACCAATGTTTGCCAGGCGCAAACTAGAGAAATAAGTCGACTGCCTGTGGACAACTAAGCAATCGTCGTTGTCATGGCGGAGGTATGGATCCGTTGGCACAAGCCAGCATGCCATGGCCTAAGCAATTCTGATTCTTGGTTTGCGCAGCAGTACCGAAGCGCATTCTCATGATTCGGTTTCGCAGTCAGTGTAGGATTCCGTGGCAGATAGCTTAACCAAGTCGAGCTGAGAGTCAATGTGGTACCGCTGATAGGTTGGCTTATTTCATGCCGCAAGAGACTGTCCAGGCTGCGACGGTCTCAGAAGTGGGCTTACGGCTGACGCGTCATACTTGGTGCAGTCTGCCGAAGTCCATGCCGTGGTGCGAGATTTCAAAATGCCCGGCAAGCAAGCAAGCAAGAGAGAGAGAGACAAATGTTTGTACCATTGTTTTGCAACAAGAAAGCGAGAAAAGCCAGGGAATGTTCTCCAAGCGCACAAGGTGAGCACATGCAGCACAAATCCAAAAGGTTGATAAGTTGTAGCCTACCTGTCCTTCACTGCCACCAACCGTCATGTTAGGATTTATGCCTTTTGCAGTATGTCGCCTTTGCATGTGTGCCGACCTGACAAACTGTGTACACATGTTACCCTTTACGGAATTACATCATGGCTGTGTCATTGTTTCCCAGCACATACGAGGAGGATACTTGCATGCATCGCTATTTGCATGAAGAGGGCTGGTCACGCGGAAGATGCCGTTGTGAACTTAGCGAGTGTTTTAATGGCAATCTTCGTCTTCATACTGCAGTTGTTTCGTTAAGTTAGAGAGAAAGCAGCCAAAAAGCACACTCCCTCCATACAGCCTTGTGTAGCTAAGCACTGTTCTAGCAAAAAACTTGCGAGCTCCCCCAGCGTCCGGGAAGGCACTAATTGATCAAAACGTAGTATCCCTTGTCATGTCCCTTCAGGGCTGGTGGATACATCTCCTGTGAGAGTGTACATCCCACCTGGTTAGACACCGTAGTTATTCATAGCTTTAGCTTACGTGCAGGGGGATTACACTTGCTCCTTACCCCCCGAATCCCGCATAACAAACATGCGGGTGGGCTTCAAGCCGGGGGGTCTTAACCGACCCCTATGCTCGCGAGAGCGAGAGAGAGGCAGAGAGAGAGAGAGAGAGACAGACCTTTCAGACCTGCAGAACTACTCTGTTCGACATGCCACGTTGATTTGAGGTGACTGGGCCCCCCGTGAAGGCCCGTGGCGGTTCTGATGTAAGTCTCCTATGGCTCTTAGTGCTGAAGTGGCTGTCCAACATCAGTTCAGCGACATGCGCTTTTGGGCTCGAGCCAGTATCGATGCGCAGGCGGCCCGAGTCCCAGACCTAGTTTCATGTCGTCCTCGCTGGGACCGCAAAGGAGTGGCGAACCATTGCGCCCAGTGACTCCGTTCTTCAGTGAGGGCGAAGCCAGCGATGCATTGAGCACAGCTTCAGCCTCGCCTGTACGACAACGGTCGGCAGGATCGCCAGGATCACCCGCCGGCGTGCACTCACCAACATCTCTCACCTCCGACTCTGCCCGAAGACGTGGCAGCATCGTCAACGTCCGTGCAGAGTTCATAAAGGCTCGTAAGGAAGATGAGCCGGAAAGGACGCACAGTTCGAAAGAGAAGTATCGCAAGATCGGCATAGATGTGATGACAAACAGCTATATTACAAACCTAATGGCTGCAGTTGTTTTGTGCCTTGGTTGCATTTTTCCCTTTGGGGGTTGGCTCTGGGATGTTCTAAGACGGAAACGTTCAGAAGGCTGCTTGGTACCTAAGGCTGGATGCCTACTGCACCTGCGCAGACATCGATGCGAGAGCTGCTGGGGAAGAGCCTGGGCTCGAGCTTGCAATTCTCTCAGATACTTGTCTGGCGCTCTACACCTTGGAGCTCGTGGTGCTGACCTGTCTACAGGGTTGTTCTGTCTTCAAAGACTGGCTCGTACTCCTGGACCTTACGATTGTTCTGTGCGGTTACTTGGAGCTGTTGCTGAACTTCCTGGCACCAGGCGATTTAGTTGGGAACCTCGGCATCCTGCGCGCATTGCGGCTTGTCAGGATTGTTCGGCTGATGAGGCTTCTGCGGCGGATACGTGCCCTCCGTGAGCTGCACAAGCTAGTGACAATGATGGCTACGTGCCTGAAGGCATTGCTTTGGTCTTTTGTTTTCTGTTTCGGCATAATGACCGTTTGGGCCATGCTCATGGTGTCTTGACTGTCGCAGCAACATTTTACTCATCTTGCTTCGCATTATGGATGTTGCAAGTTCGAACTGCTTAGCTAGTTCTTAGTCCAGGGTTCTGCCAAGGTAGAGATTGTTCACCCAATCATCCGCGATATGACCTTTGAGCAGTGCGATGATTGCAGCACAGCCGTCGCATCTGTCATGCGTGCCAACCTGCTCCTGTTCAAGACCGTCATTGCCGGCGACAGTTGGGGTGATATTGCCGTGCCGGTTATTGAATCTAACCCGTACACTGCCTTTATTTTCATGGGGTCACTGCTGACACTCGTGTTTGGCGTGTTGAACCTTGGTGGTCTTTGGGTACATCCTTTGGACCGTTGCCCTTTGACGTTTCTGTTTTCCGGGTTGATCCGCGATTGGATTGCGTCTTAGCTTATGCACTTCAGCTTACACACCGCAAGAACAGCTGAGGAATCTCATTGTTGCCGTAGTATCTCGGCTGATGACGATCCTTTGAAGCCGGAGGTAACAGTACGAAGCCTGTAGATAAAGGTAAGGCATGGTGAGGCCAGGGTTCTCGCAGTTTCGTAAATTTATGCTTGGTGGCAATGCCTTGCTTAACAGGTTGTGGACACATTTGCAGAAGCTCGCGAGCAAGATGTGTTGAACCTGGCACAAGAGATGGACCAAAGCGTAGAAGATGACAGAAAAAACCTCCAAAGGCTTTTCAATCGAATAGACGCCGACGGAAGCGGCCGTCTGACGCTAGACGAGCTGATAGAGGGGGCCCGCAAGGATCCCGAACTTCAGAGCCGACTGCGTGTCATGGACATTGATGAAGTGGACTTGCAGCAACTTTTCGAGATGATCGATGTGCACAGAGAGGGCGCAGTCGAGGCACAGGAGTTCATTGCGCCACTCAGCAGGTGGGTGCATGATTCGAAGACGGCCCCCCGATTCATCAAGTACAACATGGTCCGAACGATGCAGAACCAAGAAGAGCTTTTTGACCTATCTCGAGATTACTTCGATTTTTTGGCCATGCGAGTCGACAGCCTGTCGGAATGTTTGCAGAAACTTGCGGGCGGTCACCCTGCAGCCGCGTCCGAGCACCAGACGGGTGATTCGGACCATGGCACGGCCACCGGTGAGGGATGCATCGAGGCCCCAAATGCCTCTGTGCCCCTTGGATGTCTAACAGAGTACCAACAGCTAAGGCTGTTATGCCAAGGAAGTCTCAGCCGCAATTGCTTGAAGCACTGACAGAGCCCTCGGCTGTACACGGACGTGAGCATGTCTCCGGCCTGCGAAAGGAGCAGGACAGCCTCAGCATCAAGTAGAGTATGGTGCGAAAAGATGATAAACGGCGTCAGACGAGTTAGGCGCATGTGAAGCATCAGACATGTTACTATCAGTTTGTTCGATCGGTGTCGCCAGCTAGATGGTTTCTTTCGGCACGGTCTGGATAGCTTGATCATGTCAATGCTCCGGCATTTTTTGGGATACAGCTTGACAAAGGGATCTTCGAGCAACTTCGGGCCAACTCATAAGCAAGTGCACGGGCGAGGTGCGCGAAGCAAAATTCTGTGTTGCCAAGTTCTACGTCCCCGCAAGGACTCCCGCAACAGCAAGGATGCCTGTGCCGGTACGACCCCAACGAGTTCCCGCACAGAGTCAGCGACACTGCATATAGCCGATGCGATGCAGACCTTGGAGCGATTCGTTCACAAGGCCACAGAAGGATCGCTGTTACTTGGCCGTATCATACACGAGCGCTCAGAGACGGGGTGTTTGCAGAAGTTTCATGAGCCAATGCCCATGCCTTTGCTAAAGACGCGAGTGGGTCAGACCGACAGGACTGGCATGCCACTGCAAGTTGCCGGCTTGCACGTACTGCATCCGAGGAGGAAGACTGTGATGCTGATTGAGCAATCGCTGCAGGGCACAAATCTTGACGAGATGCTGTCCAGAGCCTTGACGAAACATGCACGTGCGAAGTCTGCCAAAGATCGGGTGTAGTTTGGCAACGGGCCAGCGTGATAACGCTATGGGGTTCTAAAGTTGAGAGTAAACGAATTGATGCTGGTGCTCCCCGTGTTGTGGTGCAAATTTTCGACCTCGCCATTGTCCCACACCGGCCGTGTCCGCCCAGGATGCCGAATGCTTTGTAAAGCGCAATGCTGCTGAAGTCGATGGAAACCGTTCATACGCGCTCCCGCCCTAAATCCCCGTCTCGAAATCCCGCCGTTGAAAACCGTCTTCGCAATCGCAGTGGAAGGTGTATGTGGCCGTGTCGTCTTCCCGCAAAGTCGCCTGCATTCCCCCTTCCAATTCGTGCTCCGGCCATGGTACCATGACTGGACCATGTTTCGGGTAGGCGCCTCGAGTTTCCGCCTCCCCACATCGTGCTCCCGCCACAGCCTGTGCAGAGCTACAGAGCCTCGCGCACTTCCTGACTCATCGCTCCGACGTCTCGCTCAGTTTTGCAAGGCTGCAAGAACTACTAGGCGTCCTGGAGCGCAAAACCATACAGCGATAGACGTGGATGTGCGCACGCTTGCGGTGGCATTGAGCATAAAGATTTCATGTTTGTTTAGTCATAGTCGTAGTCCCGCACTGCTCCGTGCACCGGAGGGTCATAATTATGTCTAACAGTCTAACCCAACGGAGCCCCGAAGCAAAAACCTATTTCTATACCGCTCCCCCGCTTCATAAATCATGTTTCTCCACTGTTCTCACATCATGTCGGGGTGAACATCCTGCGCAGCTTGTACTGTTTGAAGAGATCTGAGCTGGGATAGAATGGTTGTACATGCTCGTGTTAGCGTGCACTTCCTCACTCATCGAAACCAACAATAACATCCCATCTATTGTCTGCCACATTGAGCCCAAGATTGATGTGCAGTTTTGTCTGTTCAATGCGTGTCGTCACGAAGCAGCAAGGACTCGAACGCCCTCATTGGCCTCGTGCCAGACACGGCCGCAGATCTTCACGACGTCCTGACGACGATGGCTTGGAGCGCGTCGATCGGGTGGGGTCATCGTTCTCTAGGCAGGAATCTCCCGGCCGGGCCGGGGGTTTTGACAGGCAGGTGTCACCTGGTCGCTTTGACAGGCAGGTGTCACCTGGTCGGTCCCTAGGCAGGCTTGGGCTTGGGCCCCCGCGAGAGTCTCTTGCGAGGTTCTCCTCCAAAGACAGATTCTCCTCCAACCCGGGCTCTCAAAGGACATCACTGCACCTCCACGCAGAGGGCAGGCGAGCTGCAGGAACCGCTGGGCACCGCAGCCGGTCTAACAGTTCCGAATCGTCGATGAACATGGGTCCGATCGGGACGATAGGAGCCACCTAGATCAGGAACTGCCCATCGAAACTGGAATCGTCGAATGTGCAATCCTGTAGTAATCGTGTGCTGGGCCCAAAGCTGGATCCAAGACATTTTCTGCACCGGCCTCAACACCCAAGGTGTTTTTGGACATCCGGTTTCCCGGTGTTGCACGCAGCACGAAAATTGAAGCAGGGTTTGCGTAATTGTCGTGTGATGGCAGATTCCGAGTTCAAATCTGCATGGTTTTCGCCACGGGTCATGCTCTCTCAAATCTCTGCTACTGTAAGCTTCAGTCTCAAATTCACTCTGCATCTTCAGGTATATCCGAAGAGGTCACCTGCTGTTCCTGGCCCGATCCCCAGCAGTTGCACGAGCAAGGGGGTCAAGTGGTACTGCACAGTCACACATGGTAGAATATGGGTTCAGAAGGTGGGAGGACAGAAGATGGGCAGCAAGGCTTTCTTGCAACCGCACACCCCGTAAGAACCTCCACCATAGCAGGACGAACCACCGGCCTTCTGGGAAGCATGTCTTGCAAGTAGACATAAATATGATGACACCGGAAGCGTTCTTTAAGTTTCTCCACGCGTAGTGGTGAGGCCTTGGCAGGGACAGTGAATGCCGGGGGCTACACTTGAACAGCAGGTAGCAGTGACTCGCAACGCAACAGCGGCCCCTGCTTGCTCTGTCGAGAATGATGCTCCCCACTCCATCATAGAGAATGAATGATGTGACGGGGGGATAGAAGACAGGCACCGCGGCGCGACAGCTGACAGAACACAGCAAAGAAACCTAGGCCACAAGAATCATTTCTGGAAGCAGGGTCGATTTGAGCTAGACGGGACACTACAGTAGACAGTAGCTTGGCTTGTCCAACAGGATCGGAGACACAAACCCGGTTCGGTTGGTAATCAAGTTTCCCCGAGGTAGCCAAGAGTTGGCCACCCGGCTGCAATAACGCCGCCTTGGACGAGAGTTCTGCTACAAGTTTGTCAGAGGATCAGTTGTTGAGGGGATGCAATCGCATGATGCAGGATTGCATGAAATCTTGCAGTGCTGCTTCCCAGCTCATCTCCACGGTCTGGGTCAAAGAAGGGGTTGAAGAAACTGAGCAGTGCATAAATAATGAAGATTTCCGTCGTGAGTGAAGATCTTCGCTGGCAGTTGGGCGAGGAACAACGAGAAGTGGAACAATCTGTTTCACGTTGCACCTGCAGGCACCTGAGCTTGGCAGCATGCCGGAAACGAGCCTGGCGCTCCTCGACAGCAAGAGAGCTGCATCATCAGTGCAAGCCTTCCTCTAAAATGATGCAGCTGCTGCTGATGAACTGCCCTGTGAAGGGGATAGAGCGTCAACAACTGAAACAGGGGCTTTTTAACATGATCACACAAATTCAAGTAGGGAGTAACGAAAACTAAAACTCAGTAATGTGGCCAATTACTTCCCTACAGCCTGTGAATCCTCCTCCTCCTCCTCCTCCTACTACTACTACTACTACTACTACTACGACTACTACTACTACTACTACTACTACTACTACTACTACTACTACTACAAAAACTACGACTACTACGACTACTACGACTACTACCACGACGACGACTACTACTACTGCTACTGCAAATGGACGACGACTACTACTACTGGTGCTACTCCTGCTGTTGATGCGACGATGACTACGACGACGAGGGCTACTGCCACTCTTGTTGCTGCCGCTGTTGCTACTACTGTAATGCCTGGACCGCATCCTTCTGCGCTGGCCTTTGCTAGTTTATCACTCCCATCCAGACCCTGTTGAAGGTCCTGATTGGTCTGGTTTTTGGTTTGATTTGTGAGTGATGTCTGGGCGATTGAATTTTATCATGCTCCTTGCCTAGTGAGTTCAGTGCACATTTTTCCCAGGGAGCTGCACAGTTTGCAGGTGGGGACCACCGCCACCACCACCACCACCATCACCACCACCGACTACTGCTGCTGCTGCTGCTTCTGCTAACCACTACGACGACTACTACTACTGTTACCCTGTTTGATTTTGTTGATCACTGTTGGTTTGTGCTTGATCAGAAATTTTGCGTTTTTGTTTATGCAGCCTCGCGGTAACATCAGCTTTGGCTTTTTGCATCAGTGTTCCGTAGTTTCTGTCCCAAGCTTTTGGGCGTTTCATCACTGTCTAGTTGTGTTATTTTCATGTTTAAATTCCTCGACCCCTGTGAATGCACGAAGCCAAGGAGCCCGGGACCCATTTTCAGTACTGCAGCCGCTGTGCCCACGCAGGCCATTCGGCTGCGCAGCCGGAATATAAATATAAATAAATAAATAAATATATATATATATATATGTCGCAGAGTTCTTGAGGATCTGCACGCACGCATTGATGCACGTATGGATGGAGATCGACCGAAGGGTGGATGGATGGACGTGTAGGTAGGGTAGGTCGGAAGGTAGATAATTGCAGTTCGGAAGGTGTAGGTTGGTAGGTTGATGTTGTTTGGCAGGTTGCTGTGCATGTATCTCGATTTGCATGTCCAGTGTTAGTATGCAGATATTCGTACGAAATTCATGATTTTCTTGGTGGGGATGCATGCATGCACGCGTGCATGTTTGACACTTGCTGTCCTGCTCTGCAGGACGCGCGAGCCCGCCGAACAGTGCTGTCATTTCATTGCAGCAATTGGTGCTAGATTTCTCGCATGAACTTCCCGCGTGAACTCGCAGATGTGAGATGACCCAGTTCGTAGAAATGCCTGCGAAGGCCATGCCAGCAGCAGACCCTGCGCTCAAAGCTGAGACTACGACAGCGGCAAGTTCTTTAATGCATCATCGCTGGCAGAAGCAGAGGTAGCCAAGCTGGGTGACACCTCAGAGATAGCATGCTTGACGGAAGTTTGTCGCAAGCTTCCTAGCAGCTTGCGAGAACTCCTGTCGTGAATTCTTTTCTGATGTGCCCAGCGTGAAAGTCGAAACCCTGAAATCTCGAAGCCTCAAGCCTTAAGCCTGCCACCCTGACTCTGGGCTCCCAGACCGATGCCTTGGAGACCCTCCTGGCTCACCGACGAGGATCGGACAGTACGGTGTCGCGAGCAGTGGTGGTGGTAGCAGTAGTAGCAGTGGGAGTAGGAGGAGAAGTAGGAGTTGGAGTAGTAGGAGTAGGAAGGAGCAGTAGCAGTAGCAGTAGCAGTAGTAGTAGTAGTAGTAGTAGTAGTAGTAGCAGCAGCAGCAGTAGCAGTAGCAGTACGTAGCAGTAGCAGTAGAAGTGGTGGTGGTGGTAGTAGTGGTGGTAGTGGTGCTAGTTGTAGTGGTAGTAGTAGTTTTAGAAGTAGTAGTAGGAGTAGGAGTAGGAGTAGACTGCCAACAACAGGAGGGTCACGAGCTTAAGCCAACTGTACCAGTAGTAGTAGTAGTAGTAGTAGAAGTAGTAGAAGTAGAAGTAGTAGTAGTAGTAGTAGCAGTAGTAGTAGTAGTAGTAGTAGTAGTAGTAGAATAGCAGTAGCAGTAGCAGTAGCAGCAGGAGTAGTAGTTGGAGTAGGAGTAGCAGTAGCAGTAGCAGTAGTAGTAGTAGTAGTAGTAGTTGTAGTAGTAGTAGTAGTAGTAGTAGTAGTTGCAGTAGTAGTAGTAGTAGTAGTAGTAGTTGTTGTTGTTGTAGTAGTTGTATAGTAATAGCAGTAGTAGTAGTAGTAGTAGTAGTAGTAGTAGTAGTAGTAGTAGTAGCAGTAGTAGTGGCAGTGGTAGTAGTAGTAGTAGTAGCAGAAGAAGTAGTAGTAGCAGAAGAAGTAGTAGTAGGAGTCGTAGTAGTAGCGGCAGTAATTCGTTGTAGCAGTAGTCGTCGTCGTGGTGGCGGTAGTAGTAGTATAGTAGTAGTATAGTAGTAGTAATAGTAGTAATGTATTAATCGGGGGTGTATTGGTAGTAGTGGTCGCCGTCGTAGTAGTTAGTAAGAACAGCAGCTGCAGCAGCAGAAGAGCAGAAGTAGTACCAGCGGCGGAGGTGGCTGTCGTGCCACCAGCCGGTACACTACCGGTTTGGCCTCTGCAAGCCCCGCTTGCTCGTCCGGGCGAGATAATTCATTCCTGTTTCCCCAATTGCTCTCGTCGCCGATGGAGACTTCAAGCGAAATTGCACCACTATCCTGCAGAAGGGCAATTGACCAGCATCGTGTCACTTCAAAAATAGCCACAGAAACGAACGGCGTTATAATACAGCAAGAGAACGCAGCAAGAAGCTGTGTTCGTAATTCAGGTCTCTTACCCAGTGTAAAATCATGAAACGAGAACTCATGTGGTGTGGATTTGATGAAATTCCACACCACAAGCGAGGAATGAGCGCGTGTTTGCTTTAGAACCACAGGAAACGACCTGATTTAAACAATGAAAACACAGGCTTCTTTCTTTGGCTTGGTTTTCAAACTTAGTTGTGTCTCTGGTTCTCGTCACATTTTACCCTGTGCATCTAATGGTTGGTTTCTTGGATGGATTTAACATTTGAGCTCCGGCCGTCCATTCGCTTCGCCCGCTTTCTATTCTCTTCTTTCGTTTCGTGCTGCACTTCCGTACAGAACAAATTATCCTGCTGTCAGGAGGCTGCCGTGTTTTGCCAACCGGGAGCCGCTGAGGCCATGGAGGTGCCTCGCCGCACAAAAAATGTCAGAGTCAGGCGAACAAGCATCCAGCCATGTTCAGCCTCAGTCCTGTTACAAGTCGCGGAATCACCAGGCTCAAGCAAGAGAAGTCGTGCAGACGGCAGCAGAGGCTGCCATGCAGGTCTGCGAAGCTGCAGCTGCAAACTTGAGTATATTCACATTCTGAAGATGCAGGACGCGGCAGATGCGCCCCTTTCCTGGCAGGTCAGCAGCTGGTTTGAACACACGCTCACGCACTGCGCACCCCCCAACATCCTGCAGCGTGGCAGGTCGACGTGGCAGGTGACGAGGAGGGCCTGGGCTCAGCCTTGACAGTGTGCTGCGTCCTCGTCTCGCCCTCACTGCATCTCACTGCCATTCTGGTAACAGGACCCAGCATTGCGCTGTCCGCCGATCGTGCCACCGAGAG